GCTCTAAATTCGAACGTCTTTGTGCTGAATTGGAAATATTGGAGAAGAAAAAATTTGATCTTAGTTCACAACACAAGTGGTCTGCTTTGAATGACCTCCAGAAGGAAGACATGATCATTTTCAACGCTTGGAATAGTGTTCCTGACTCTTACGATCAGCTGAAAAAGCTCGCTTTTGCTGTTCTTTCCCTTTTCGGTTCTGCATATATATGCGAACAATCTTTTTCAAGCATGAACATTATCAAGAGTAAACTGAGAAGTTGTCTTATTGATGAGAACTTGGAGCATGCCTAAAATTAAAAACAATAACATAGAAACCTGACATGCTCAAACTTTCCAAGGAGATGTAAGCACATTGTTCGCATTAATAAATATTTATTAAGGGTACAAGGGACCTTGAAAACTAATTTTTTAAGCTTTGATCCTACATTTATGAAATTTACAGCATTTACTTACTTCATATTTAAAAATCTGTGTAAAAAATTTCATGCTGATTACTTCAGTAGTTTTAAAAATATTGAACTTTTAAAATTTTAAATTAACGAAAAATTTGCTAAGTTCAAAACTTTCCATGCGCATGTAGTCTGGTTATAAAAATCCAATTTTTTGTTAAAATATTTGTTTTACACCTATAAATAAAAGTTAGCATCATTCATTAGCTAAATAATTTGCATTAGCTCAAAAATTTAAGTTTGAATGAATTACGCTAAAAATTTTCAAAAATTTCAATAAAAAATAAATATTTACAGCTAAAATATTTATTTCACTAATCTTTTACACAACAAAACATGCTAACTTTTAATGGTATGTATATAAGGTATCTATATATGAAGTTTTAACACAAGAAAAAAAGTTGAGACGCATGGAACATTTTGAAAAATTAAAATCACTGAAAATTTCATTTTGAGAAAAAACCATTTTTATTAATATATACTGTATAACATTTTTATTTTGTTTTAATACCTTTTAGTTCATAATATTAACCTAAACAAACTTTCATGATTAGTTTTTAATTAAAAATTTTAAAAAAAAATTTTTTGGATATGATTCTACATCGACATAAAAGGAAGTATGTATAAGTATATTATATAAGCAATTGTTGCATAAAAGGATTTTTTCTAAAATCCTCCAGAACAGTAAGTTCTTGATTGATTTCATTGATTTTTTGTCGTTAGAGAGTTTTTTATATTTCTTTGAGTTCCTTCGCAATTTAAATTGTTGGGAAGATTTATTATTGAGAATTGTTGTGAAGATTGTCGCGTCTTTCAGCAACGAGTTGTTGAGGACAGCATTTTGAGCACTCATATTCATTGTTTCCACATAACCAAAATTGTACTCGCTAACTGCAGCTGCTATTGCTAGTTCTAGTCTTTCTTGAGACGAATGTCTCTTTTGAACATTTGCGCCATATGCTACTATGGATGCTTTCGTTAGTATTTTGGGTGTTGGCAAAGGAATACAGCGAGAGCATATTATCAGAAGCAAGGCGTTGATACATTAGTATCTTCTCCACAATTTCAGTTATCCATAAGTTATGTCGCATTCAAACACCTTCAATGTACATTCATTGAAGGTTTACTACAATTAACATTCGATACAATTGATCACTGGTATATAAAGAGCTAAATTAAAGCTTAATAAAGTAGCGCAACAGTTCATAGAGTGCCAAGGCCTACTATTCCCATCCCAGTTTTCTTGACCATGGGCTCTGAAGCAGATTGGATGAAGGTACAGATGTTCCGGTTTAATGGTCACCCGAATGCGAACCCCAGTTTCTAGTCCCCAAACATACTTGGCACTTATAACATCGACCCACTGAAGAGATGCTGATTCAAGCTTGCTTGGTCAGGGGATAAACCTCAGACCGGGGACACGAGAGAGCAAAGCACTATCACTCAGCTATCGGGCTCCTTTTACGCTCAGCAATTTCGAATCAAAAAATGTGTGCGACCTCACGTAATCGCAATCACTGGACTTCGCACATCAATGAAGTCCTCATGTATAACGAACAATTACATCAATAATTTAAGTTTCATTTTTCATGTTTTATTTGAACTCATTATCAGCAAACTGTAAGTCACAGCGGTGCCGACTGTTGCCAAAATTAAGTTTCTTTTAAAGTAAAATATGCCACACCCAGATAAAGTGATACTCGATTTATAAATCTGATCATTGTTAATTGAATTATTCAAGCCAAGCAAAGTTCTGCGATTTATTTGCTTCTGAAATGTAAACTGGAAGTTTTGCATTTCGACCGTCACTTGACTCGCCGACCATATTAATGTAAATGATGATAAACAGGAGATAGCGAATTGAGGTGCCCACTCTACAACATATAGATAGTCTATTTCCTTTATTTCTATAATGGCGAAAACACATAGGAGACTGAAGCATGCCCAAAAATTTGCTAAGTATACAAGAAATATTGGTTGCGAAAGCAATTTTTCAGTGCTATGCAGTAAATCGATGAGTATTTCTTTATTGTAAAGTATGATTCTTTGCTTAAAATCTGAGAATTTTTCAGGTTTGAAATTTTCAACTTCTTTTGCCATATTTCTGAACTCTGCTCCGAAAAACTGGCACAATCTTGTGTAAAATAAAGACACTAAACTCATAGAAAAAGGATATAAATAAAAATAAAAGAAGCACTTTGTATATGCGATTGTATTCAAAACAAAATCATTAAATGGATAACCATAGGCTAATATTAACTTCGTTGCATTTGCACCATCTGTCCTCATCAGGATTATAAAAACTGGATAAGTAAAAAGAATGACGTACAAGGGCAATACAGCCCATTTATTATTCCTATAGGCTTTATCTTTATAAATTAGCTTGAATTTTTTCAGAAAGCGAAAAATTTCTTTTATTCTTAACAGCATGACGGACCAAACCCCAAGACTTACAATGGGAGTTAAAAGGCTAGTGATAGTTATTTGCCATATTAAACCAACTGACATCAGTAAAATATACAAGATCACAAGATTATCTATAAAAAGTAGCACAGTTGTAGCTAAAAACATCCAGGATAGCAATACTCTCCATTTTCTGACTGATTTTTGATTCCACGAAACGGCCCATAAAAGGATTTTCAGAAAACACAAACTCCCATCGCTACATCTTGCGAGTTCAAAAGCCATCTTTCTGCAAACTGTTTATTTCATTCATTTATTTATTTTATACGTAGAGGCCGATCAATAACCCATTATCAAACTAAAAGCAATAGTAAATTTGTAACAAAGAGATTTCTTAAAGATGCGCTCCATTATAGTTTAATTTCGATGTAGAAAAATGAAAACGAGGTGTCATATCATAAGAAGAATCATGGCAAAATTAAACTTTGTTATGTTAAAGAATCAAATAAAATAAAAAGTTATTAGTTTTAATAGCTTTTTACTTTTTCAAAGCGTATTGTATCTCTAAAAAGAGTTGCCTTTTTTACCAGAATGTTTAGAATCGGAATTATGTGAGAATGATTTATGCTTTTAAAATAATCAATAATCTAATAAAAAGCAATTTCTTGAGGTATGAATGAGTCAAAGGATTTAGACGCATAGTTTAGAATAATATAAGTATTGTTGATTGCGACTGATCACTACTGTCAATCACCGATCACTATCAATCACCGATTATATTACGCAGTGGAACGTTGTGGAAGCCTGTTTTTAAAAGTAACGAATAAATACAGTGATCCAACTGGACTAGATATCTTAAATTCACGAGCCTATTCATATTGTAGATAAATAATGTTACATAATTAGATAAAACAGTGCATAAATAATCTTATAATTTGAGAAATTAGTCCAGAAGTTGAACATCGTTTCAAAGTTTGGCTGCAACAGTATGCATCTCTTTCACATCCTAATGGCTTACAAACGAATAGAAAACTGAAAATTTTCAAAATGAATAAAAACTCAAAATCTCTGAAGGATTAAAAAGTGAAAAACTCTAAATGACTAAAAACTCTAAGTGAATAAAATCTCGAAAATTCAAAAATTAAAAATGAATAAAAACTTAGAACTCGAAAAGAAAAAAACACGAAAACTGAAAATGATTAAAAACTCGAAATGAATAATATCTCGAAAACACTCACTTCATTTGGGGTTGGTCGTTGTGGGCTTCTTTCACAGACAGTGGATCGAACCCTTACCAGGTGTATTTACCTGGTGAATAATCATTTTAGCTGCTCACAGATGGAAATGAAGATAATGTTTCCTATCCTCCGTATAGCTCGAACACATAAGCTTACTCTTTGAGAATGAATAAATGAATAAAAACTCCAATACTCGAAATGAATAAAAACTCAAAAACTCGAATTGTATAAAAATTCAGGAACTTGAAAACTTAAAATGAAAGAAAAAAACTGGAAGACTCAAAAATTAAAAATGAATAAAAACTCAGGAACTCAAAATGAAAAGAAAAAAATCTCGAAAACTCAAAATGAATAAAAACTTGAAAATACTGTGTGAAAAAAAAGGTGTGAGGTTTTATTTTTCTTCAGCTCGTGGATCTAATCTTTACTAGTTGCATTTACCGGCCTTTTAACTGCTCACAGATGCAAGCGAAGATAGCATTTCTACCGTCCCACTGCCACCCACTCTAAGCCTACTCCGTACTCGAAATGAATAAAAACTCGAAAACTCGAAAATAATAAAAACTCTAAATGAATAATAACTCGAAAAATCGAATTGAGTGAAACTCGAAACGAATAAAAACTAGAAATGAAAAACAAGCCGAAATCTCTGAATGAATAAAAACTCAAAAACTCTAAATAAAAACTCGTAAAAGTGAATAGAAAAGAACTGGAAACGAATAAAAACTGAAAAAATTGAAATAAATAAAAACTTGAAAACTTAAAATGAATAAAAAGTCGAAATGAACAAAAACTCGAAATGAATAAAAATTCGAATATGAAATCCGTTGAATTTGTCATTGCTTTATTCCATATGAAATTATACTTTTAATCAATTAACAATAACAAATCCTTCTAAAGTAACATACCTGAGTGGGACAAAGAGTGGTTTTCTGTCTCCTCGTAGTAATAATAATAGGTTTCCACTTTTAGAATGGTTTTCTAAACCAGGATCAGTATTTTCTAATGTCATTTTCAATCGATATTCATAAACTGAAATAAAAAATAATTGATATACTAATGAGAAATATACAAATTAGACCATGCAAAAAAATAGAGTAAAAAGGAAATTTTTTAAACTTTTTCCATGTTCATTTTTAAAGATATGTTTGTATTTGTACTTTCATTGATAACTTTGAACAAATTATGAATATTCATATAGAAAAATCGCTACTCTTTTATGTTCGATGTTTAGTTTTAATTTACGATTTTTCCAAAGATTTAAAATGAAAAACTTGCAGTAATTATTAAATTCTTTTGTAAAATTCTAGTCAATAAATCTGGTTTCATGAAAAATTTTGTATTGCCAACTTTAAAGAACTTTCTATCCATATATATATATATNTATTAATTAATTATTTTTTTGTTTTTTTTTCAAAAAGGGTTGGAAGATAACATGCATCTCTCTACCACTTGATTTATATTGGCACAGATTGTAGGGACTAATTTAATTTTGCTATATCGCTTAATCAACAAAGAAATTGTTAAACCCTTACACCTGTGGCGTAGATGGAACACCGGTGTCCCTCTTATATCTATTTACTACAAAAAATATATTTTGGAATTTTTTACTTATAGAAGCAGTCTAATGAAAAACAGATACTAAAAAAATTTGTTCGATCATAGGATTCATATTTGTATTAGAATATAAAATCCATAAAAAAATAGATCGAATTTTTTATTTTCATTTATATTCAAAAGTTTTTAAATAAGTGATTTTGCAAATACAAGAAATTTAGATGATGAGTAAATGCTTCTCCTAGATCTAAATAGCTGCAAATAAGAGCAAATTGGAAAATTTCCGTTTGGAACTAAGCAGTCTTTCGAAGATTTCATCTTTAATATGTAAATAAAACTCCGGTGTTTCATGCTATTTTTCATAACAATAAGTTATTTGAATGCTAAATATAGTATTTTTCACTAATTTTGACTTATTAATACAAATTAATGAAAAAAGTCTGAAAACATGTTTAATAAAAATTCTGCGTCAGAGAGTAAACTAATAGCGGTCAAAATGACCGCAATGGTCGTTTTTGGGTTAATTCCGAGTTTATTTTAATTCATTATTTTTCTTAATTTTATTTATAATAAAAAATTTTAAAGTCTTCATGCAATGGAACTAATTAATGAAATAAAAAGTATGTTGAAACTTATCACAGTTAAAGTATTGTATTTTTAGCGAAAGAAAAGGTATAGAGAATTCAAAGAGTTCTGTTTTTAGTAACACAATTTTTCTCCGTGATTCTCAAAGAAAGAAAAAAAATTCTTTGGACTTTAACTGTAGAATAAAGTACCTGCTTACTATTACTCTTCAATTTTCGTTCAAAGTTCGTGTCAGTTAGAATAAAATAAATTCTTGTACACTGGTACTAAATTCTACGAATCGGACTTATTACCTTTAGGTAGAGAAGAAATTCTAAATTTACAAACACTTGAAGAAAAAGGCAATAAAATAAAGATTTTATGCGTGGAAAAAGATTTAAACTAAAATGGCATTTGCACTATGCAGCTCACATAAAGGGACTTTGACAACATTTGTATTTTTGTAAGTAAAAAGAAATTTACTTAATCTAGGCAACATCAAAGCTAGTTGAGTGTCAAATTGAATTTAAACATTAAGCTTTATTCTATTATGTATTTTTATTACTTGCGTAAACAATACTTTTTGTTATAAAAAATAACCTATTTCAATTTTATAGGCTTGTTTTATTGATTTGAAATCGGACTCCGCTATAGTAAACCGCCTCTGGACCTAGCATTAAATCCATTATAAACGATGATTCACTATATGAAATTCACTATGTCTAGACTTTATCAAAGTTAGTAAAGTGTCAAATTGAATTTATATATTAAACTATGTTCTGTTATGTATTTTTAGTATTTACCTAAGCCAGAGATGCCAACTTGATCCGGTCAGCAAATATATATTTAAAAATGGTAGTTTATCAATTGTGATTCTTGGTTTAATAAATTCAATTTAGTAGATTTTTATCCACCACTATTTCTAAATAATTCGTAGGCTTATATTATTCACCACTTTATAGTACTAATAGCAAAGTTTTTGCCTTCTATTATCAGACACGGTCGAGCAAGGTTCTCCTGCAAGACCAGTTCCATATCATAAGCAACGATGAACTTCACGTCACGGCTGTAGCCGTGGGTCAGTCCGAGTGTCGCAGGGGCCAGACCCCCAGGCGGTCGGGCTTCCCAACTACAGTTCCTTTGCTTCCAAAGTCTACCCATTCACCCCAGCCATCACCTCCTACATCAAGAAGCCTCCACACGGTCTTTTATAAGTAGTCCGCGCAGGCTGTTTAAAAAGTGAACCAATTGTGCGCATGAACCCAAAATCTTTTATAAAAGTATTTGAGAGAAATTTATCATATATATTTGAGAATTGAATCTGTAGTGGTTGACAAGTGAATAAGGCAAACCAATAATATTCATAAATAAAACAAATTTTCAGTCATATATTTGCTACCACTTTCTTATTTTAACTAAATTTTGTATAATATGACTCGTTCGGAAAGTGGATATCTCACCTCATCGTCATCATCTTCAGCATCAACAACTCAACTCACAAAAATACACCTTACAGCAAGGGGGATAAAAGCGAGTAGCAGAGATCCCCCCCACATCATCATCAACAGTCAACAGTCAAAGTGGATATCCTTCACAGTGGTCTGATCGGACTACCTGTAAAAAACCGTGTGGAGGCTTTCAGTTATAGGAGGCGTTGCCTCAGCCCTTTTCAGGGCTCTCCGTAACGGATATGGGAGGCGCTGCCGAGCCTAGGCAAAGGGACGCGGAACTATGCGGAACCCTTGTAGTACCGACGGGGACGGCTATGCCAGAACCGCACGGGCTGCCTGGGAGCTGTATAGGATCCAACATGGTTAGGTTAGGCAATGAATATACCTTCCCCAATATAAATAAATTAGGACTGGAAGAGGAAATTCTAGTTAAGGAAAAAGTCGACAACCTAACAGAAATGAAAGATGGNGACAGAATCAAGTATATCATCAAGAGGAATCCCGATAACGAAATGCAGGCGATTGTCTCTATTTTAGCCAGCTACATAGAACAATTAATAGATAGAGTCACAATAGACGAAGACAAAATATCCTGGTTCCTACAAATAGAGGGCTATTATAACGAACAGATGAACTGTGAGATAAAAAGTAGTACAGTTAGCAAGATAAATACTAAGAGCGAAGGTCGCTTTGGAAGGCGCAAAATACTTACTCTAAAAGAGTCATTATCTAAAAAACAGTCATTTATTGAGAGGAAGGCTTACCCCCAGTCCCCCTATCAAATAAATTTAGTTTGCTAAGTGAAGATCTGAATACTAATGATAATCATATGGATACGGATAATCAAATTGATAACTCTGAGATTACTGTGGATAACAACCACAAAAAAAGAAAAGCTTTGCCAGAAAAACCTAACGCTACTAAAAAAGCAGCAGTTGAGGAAAACATCCAAATAACTCCGGAAAATAATTCAGATGAACCTGATGGTAGTGAGGCTAACGAAGCATTCATACAACCAGCCAGGAAAAATCTTAGACCACGTCCTATTATAATAAAAGGAGAATTCGATTATGAAACTTTTTACGAATACACAAAAGAGAATAATATAACAGATTATATAGCTAAAGAATCCTATGGCAACTTTACTATAAAACCAAAAACTGAAAAAGCTCATAGAGATATAAGAAAATATCTCGAAGATAAGGAAATAGGTTTTTATACCTACCTTCGTCCATCTGAGCGCCATCTTAGAGTGGTCATAAGAGATGTACCACACGGATATACAAATGAATGTGTCTACGGACTTCTATTACATCATAACTTTACACAAGTCGTAAGCGTTAGAAGAATGACCAGAAGAAGGAATGGAGAAACTATTTATCTCCCACTCTTTATTGAAACATTGAAAAGAGAGGCAAACTACAAAGACATTTATGGCCTCAAATCTATGAATAATTTCAGAGTCAGAATAGAAAATTATAAAAGCAGATCAGGCACAGTATCACAGTGCCACAACTACCAAAATTTTTATCATTCAGCCTCTGCTTGAAATCTCCCACCGAGATGCGTAAAATGTGGTGGCGATCACATGACCAGTTCATGCAATAAGCTAAAGGAAGAAGAACCAAAATGTTGTAACTGCGGGGAAAACCATCCCGCAAGTTACAGAGGCTGCCCTAAATTTTCCACAGCCAAAAGGCAAGAGCCCAAAAATTCAGGAAGGATCTTCCATAATAAGACCTATGCTGAAGCTGCTAAAAATCAGAAACAGAAGAATTAAAAAATATCGTTAATAAAGCTAGAAAAGTTTTCAAAGACTTATGCGGTCTTGTGGCCATTGCCAACGCAGCTAACAGACTACCAGCCCTTAGTGAAGCTGTAGAAAAATTAAATGAGGAAAAACAAATAGCCCATAATGGATAGGTCAAAAAATAGATGGAAACCAATTCAAATAATGCTTTGGAATTCTGCAAATCTTACTACAAAATTTTCGGAATTTATTAACTTTATCCATGAACACGATATTGACATAGTTCTCATTACTGAGACCCACTCTAATGCTGCAAATAATTAATTCTTGGAGGCTTCTTGATGTAGGAGGTGATGATGTCTGGCAGAGTACCTATCTTAGACAAACAGTATGTAGTAGCCACCGTTTCTGGTGTTGAGGTAAAATTTTTTACGGTGCTTGTAGCCACATTTTTTATTTACTTTTTTACTGTTACCCTTCGACCTTTCACGTTCTAAAGAGGCACCGACGAACAGGTGTGAATGAATTCCGCACATTCCAAAAGTGTTATTGTTGTTGTTGCTTATCCCCTTAGTCTAGAGCCCTAGACCAAGTCCAGAAGATCATGTCGCATCAGCAAGTCATAGACAGTCTCTCCATCACTCATCAGTTGCCTCACAGAGGCACCAATGCAATCCAAAAGATGAGATGGAGAAGCGATGGCCGAGCAA